ACAATTTGCATCTTGAAAGGCATCAAGGCAGATAAAATTCCAGACCCCACAGGTACTGGGAAAAAGATAGAAGATTTCTGGGGTCCTGCTAAGAAACTCCTGGGGGACATGAGATTTTTGCAGTCGCTTCATGAGTACGACAAGGACAACATCCCTCCAGCGTACATGAGCATCATTAGAAAACAGTATATCACCAATCCTGAGTTTGTGCCAGAGAAGATCCGGAATGCTTCCACGGCCGCAGAAGGCCTATGCAAATGGGTCATTGCCATGGATTCCTACGATAAGTAAGTCCTTCTTTAAGAGCAGTCATTCATTTCAGGTTTGAGAGGTCGCCTTACCCCTCCCAAGGCGCCTTCCTCACAGCATATTTAATAATATAAAACCTGTTATGTACTGAAGTTCTCACCCTGGGCCAGCAGGGGGATACTGTAGATAGTTTTCACTCAGGTCCACATAAGCAAATAAGGGATTGAAAGTGACGTTCAGTGATTGGATAGTTACAGAAAATGGTTATTGTTACGTTCTAGTGGAGCTCTATATAAGCAGGCTGGCTGAACCCTTCAGTTCTGTTCTGGCCTGTGAATAAACAAGAGCCGTTTGAAGAATCGCTGTGTCGTCTGATATGTTCACCCACAACAAAACCCAATAACGTGTCGCAAACCCATAAAACCACAATCTATAAAACACGGAAGCATCTACAAATATTACAACAGCAGCAGTTAAAGGAATGTGTTTGTGGTGGTCTTGAGAGGAATCTCAAAGCACGGCATAAAACGTTAAGATACGCAGGACTAAAATATCAGTTAAAGGCAGTTTGGAAGAACTTCAGGGCCCATATTAAAGTCGTCATTGTAAGAGAGCTTTGCATGGCCTGTTTAGATATGAATGAAGGATTTTGTCTTGCTAGATATTTCTTTTTCTTGCTCCTTCTTCACCAAAGTTTCAGGAGCAAACTGCCACCCTATTATTATTATTATTATTATTATTACAGTCGTACCTTGGTTTTCTAACAGCTTAGTTCTAGAACGTTTTGGCTCCCAAACATTGCAAACCTGGAAGTGAGTGTTCTGTTTTGCGAACTACTTTTGTAAGCTGAATGTCCGAAGGGGCTTCCCCAGCTTCTGATTGGCTTCCTGAAGCCAATCAGAAGCCGTGGTTTGGTTTCCAAACGTTCTGGAAGTCCAATGGACTTCTGGAACAGATTCTGTTCAACTTCCAAGGTATGACTGTATTATTACAGTGGTACCTCGGGATGCGAATGGGATCCGTCCCGAAGCCCCATTCGCATCCTGAACAGAACGTAAGACGCGACAGCGCGTCTGCGCGTGCGCGGGTCACGTTTTGCCGCTTTCGCGCATGCATGTGATGTCATTTTGACTGCGCATGTACGAGCGGCGAAACCCGGAAGTAACGTGCTCTGTTACTTCTGGGTCGCCGCGGAGCGCAGCCCGAAAGTGCTCAACCTGAAGCAAATTTACAGTGGTGCCTCGCAAGACGAAATTAATTCGTCCCGTGAGTTTTGTCGTCTTGCGATTTTTTTCGTCTTGCGAAGCACGGTGTCGGGAAAGTTTTGGAAAAGCTTCAAAAATCACCAAAGTCTTTAAAAACCTCAAAAAGGCTACCACACCGCGTTCTATGAGTTGCCCTCGAAGTCAAGTCGCAACTGTATTAACGGTGTTAAGACAAAGGAAACAAACTTGCAAGACGTTTCCGTCTTGCGAAGCAAGCCCATAGGGGAAATCGTCTTGCGAAGCAGCTCAAAAAACAAAAAACCCTTTCGTCTAGCGAGTTTTTTGTCTTGCGAGGCATTCGTCTTGCGAGGTACCACTGTATCCTGAGGTATGACTGTAGTATTATTATTATTATTTGTTATTATTAATAATAATCAGGGCTGTCTTAAGTATATCTGGCGCCGTGGTGCAAAGATCCCTCTGGCGCCCCCCTCCCATTTCCCAGAGCTGCTGACCTTTTTACGGCGCTGCTGGCAGCTTTGCGGGGCTGGAGGAGGCGGGCAGCGGCTGGAGGGCGGCTCCTCCAGCAGGGAAGAGGCGGAGGCTCCGGGCGCTTCGGTGAGGTGGGCGAGGCCAGTGAGCTGATGCTGGGAGGCGCTGCGCCCAGCCTCTGCCTCTTCCCTGGGCCCGTGCAGTGGTGGCCACGGCAGGCAGAGGCTCTGAGCGCCGCGCTGCTTCGGCATGGCGGAGGCGGACGAGGGCAGTGAGCTGATTCCGGGAGGTATCAGCCTCCACCTCTTCCCTGGTGCCCTCCAGAACCTGGCGCCCTGGCACCCCGCGCCACTTGCCTCTATGGGCAAGACACCCCTGATAATAATAATAATAATAATAATAATAATAATAATAATCTGTAGGCAGGGCTGCATGCACCACCCCTCCCCCATGACTTCACTGCATTCAGCAATGCTTACAAGCTCCCCCCGAATCAGGAATCCTGTGTGATTGGGCCTTCTCCACCAACCTCATACAGGAAGTCTGAGGGTCCC